TGCATGCCCGCCATCTTTTTCTAAAATGTAGCGAAAGGGTTAAAATGACCGACCAACTGCGCATGCGCAAAAAGCTGTGGTAGGCGTGGTTATAATGTTAAAGATGTCTTCCAAGTGATATCTTGGTCGATGGTAACGCATATCTGTGCTCCTATGGCATGGAAGCCTACACTACATTTTGAATGTCCCCCTCCTCCCCCGCCTCCACCCGTCAGAGGGACTAGGAGGGGAAAGAAAGTCGTTACTCCGCCAGTAATTCAAGTTAAAGTCTTAAACCATCAGGAAAATGGACCTTCTATTGGCTCAAATACTGTTAATTGGGTGAGTATTAGTACTACTATATGTATTGTGCACAATGTACCTACTGTGTTAATTAGTATGTAATAATTTTAACAGGTTAGTCCTCAGTTTGAAGGAGTTGATGATAAATTTGTTAAAAGAAAGAAAACCAGAACTCGCTCCACCCTCCCTCCTCGGGCACTCTTCAAACAACCGACCAATAGCGAGGACAGTTGTCATGGTAATCCTAAACAACAAGCAGTTCTTGAATTTGTAACAGTCCCTCGTCAATTACCCAAAGCCACACCCACAAGTGACCCGCCCATTGATGAAAATGTTGACATTATTAATACCAAGAGTGGATAAGGAGGAGGGGAGAGTGTCTAACTGCCCTATGCTGCTAGTGATATGTGCGCGTAGAAGTCTTTCACAGTTTGTTTAGCACCTTCTTTGACCTGTTTAAACATCAACAGCCATGATAGTAAATGGGTGTGTTTTTAATAACCTATATGGTGCACCCACCCACACGTGTAGTCACGATTTTTCAAGAGGAAGAGTCAGAACTACAGCACAATCCAGATGATCATGACTGTTACAACAGATTGAGAGCATCTAATCTTGATGAGCGCCATGCCACTACACCTAAGTGCCCTAAAGCATCAAGAAAGAGGACATGGAGTCAAGAGTCAGAAGCCTCTGTTCCAGTGAACTCAGATCTGTAATACTTCATTTTTAAGATCAACAGCAGTTAACAGCCCGTCTCAAAAGTACATGTACCACATATTCTTTCACTTCTATTATTATCCTTACTCTTGATGTGGGTCCCAAGGGACCAGACTAAAGGAGGATGATCATTGATCAAGAGCTTTTCATGTGTCAATAACAAACATGGTTTGTGTGCTTGGAAACTACAAATCTCTTCAGAGTGGTACAAAGTGACTGGTACAACAAGGTGAGGTCAAATTCTGCTTCCAAGGTCTCTGTATGGTCTCTTGCTGCTCAGTTCAGCAGCCATTTTTATATTACAGTTAACTTAAGTACACGCCCAACTATGGCTTCAGTGCAGTGCAGTTATCACTTATTGTGCTAAATAAGGTATGCGGGAATGTACAAATAATAACCATGAAACTTCTACGCGCACATATCACTAGCAGCATAGGGCAGTTAGACACTCTCCCCTCCTCCTTATCCACTCTTGGCTATACTGTATGCTACTGGGGATAAGTTTCAATTTGCATATCATGTCATTGATGCCCTTGTCATGAGATAGAGCCAGCATACTGAGCATGGAGCTTCTGACAAAGATTAATTTTATTTACTTTTTTTAACAGTATAACCATTCTCACATTATAGCATGATAATAAGTGCCTTTGTAGTTGTTATTATTATTATTATGTTGTAGGGTATTGTGTATAAGCCGTTACAGTTTTCAATGGATTCTGGTAGTTATGAAGAAGAGAGGAAGCAACTACTCCAGTCATCATAGAAATAGCAACAAGAAGCAGAACACACTATAGACTAATGTTATAAAGTATTGTATACCATTTCATTGTATTATAGTTTTAAATGAATAAAATAATTAAGAAAGCCTGTCACGGGAAAATTCGTCCGGTAGAAATTATGGTCCGGTGGACCATTTTTTCTGGTAAATATGGTCCGGAGGACCAATTTTTCTGGTAAAAGCAGTCCCGCCGGACTAGAAAAAATGTCCGTTCCAGGAAATAGAGTCCGCCCACTTTTAGCACGCGCGCGCTAGCACGTGTGCCACACCTTTACATGTGAGCAGCTGTTTCATTACTTTCATAATGGATTTAACTCCTACATCTCGAAAATTTTCAATTTTAATTCTTATTTTCTTTACAGGTTCATCAATTACTCTTAATTATAGGAGTGTACAGCAACAGATTGCTAGCAGTGACTATGGGCTTTTTGCGTTAGCTTTTGCTACTTCAATTTCTGCTGGGAATAGCCCTTCAAAGATTAATTACATCCAAAATCAGTTTAGAGCTCATCTCATAAAGTGCTTGGAAAATGGACATATTGATAAATTTCCTTGCTATAAAAAAAAGAGAAATGACAGTGGAATAACAAAAACTGTAACAATAAAAGTATACTGTCTGTGTCGACAACCACAAGATGAAGGGAAAATGGTGCAGTGTGATGAATGCAAAGAGTGTATCACGAAG